TGTTTACCTTGGAGTCAGAAAATCAAATGTACAAGTTCCAATAAACTAGAAGCGCAGTAAGAAAACTCAAATCCCTGAACCTTCTCCCATTTTTTTATTCTTGGCCTTGGAGCAGAGATAAGGAGCACATTGTCCTACCCCTGCTTTCTGCAAGCTTGGTGAAGGAGCTGTGCTTATATCAACGTGCAAATTATTTTCAGAAAAATGTGCTAATCTGAAGCACAAGCTAATAAAGCATTTTTGGGTGCAGATTATCACATCTGTCTTAATTTAAATCTAAGTTATGACGGAAAACATCCGGTAATGTTCATGGTAGGAAACTAAATTGAAGAAGTGTGGTTCAAAGATAAAGTATGTGACAAGAACCTGTTTGGATCAGCACACCACCAGACTCAGGAATGGTTATAAATGGTTTCTTTTTAGAGCAGCTTCTGGTGGAGGTTTGGGTCCAGGCAGAAGTCCAGTCTTCTCAGTCTGCGTGGCAGGTGCTGTAGTCGCTCTGATACTGGTGACGTCACTCGTGCAGAGTGAGCTGCAGCAGCGGAGCAGACTTTGCAGCTGTTCGCGGTTCGTGGGGGGCAAATCCAGAGGCAGGGTCCAGAAAATGTAGCAGAGTTCATACACAGGAGAGCAGAGAGCAGAACCAAGTCGTAATCCGTAGGCGTAGTCAAAGGAGGAAGGTACAGTCGCTACCGTGGCTAGATGTAAAAAATCTAAAAAGGGTCAGGCAAAGCGAGGAGTCCATGAACACAGGTCAAGGCACGGAACGTTGCGTTTTTACTTGCAAAAAAACTTTCAATAATCTGGCGATGATTGAATGGAAGCTCGGTGTTTTTAAAGGGCAGGTGACAGGTGGATGGCATGAGCGCTGATTGCAGAGGGGGCGTGGTGCTGAATGAATGGAGCAGGGTGAAGTGAACAGAGATGAACTGTGATAATGGATAAAAACAAGAAAACTGATAGACTTTGGCATGAGAGGGTGGCAAAACTTGACAGTAGGTGGACAATTATGGGGAGCATTTGGACATTCTCAGTTATGAGGACGTCATAAAATAGACTGAACCACAGATTTTTAACCATTTATAGACAGGATCAATTCTGATATTCAGCAGCTCAATCTTCTTTAGACTTATTTTGAAAGACATAATCAATCATTTTCAGTTATTTGTATTCTGATGCACTAACACGCAAATGCATGTTTGCAATATTATTAAAAATGCATTATTTTTATATTGGTTAAAGTTTTTAACATAAATATATACATTTTTTATTGCACAGCAGGATGAACAGGAAGCAATTAATCATAGCTCATTTATTATCTACAGTTTGTTTGAGAAGAGTTCTGCTCAGTTTACATCAATAAGGACTTATTTCACAATGATTGAAAAGACTGTGATTAAAATAAAAGCTTAGATTTTTGTAAATGTTATGTTTGTTTTGATTTTGTCAGCAGCAAATCATTCCTCTTAAAAAGCCCACACAGATGTTTTAGAGCTTCAGGTGACAAATGAGTGAAAACCAGGTGGAAAAATCATTTCTAATATGTTTATGCTTTTGAAGAACGAGGGTGAAGCAGGCTGCTGTTGTCGTTTTGTAGCTTCCAGCATCCCAACAAAACCCATAAAAAGCTGCTTGTTGAAGAGGAAAAGAACAGACCAAGAAAGAAAGCATCTTTCAGCAGTCTATAATAAATCTCTGAAAGGAAGATTCGGCATCATTGAAAAGGGAAAAACACAGAAAAATACCTGAGAGAATAAATACAGGATATCAACCAGTCTAAAATGAAAAAGTTCTCAATAATTGAAAAAAATAACAGTAATTTTCTACATGCTGCTTCTGATTGCATGTAGCTGCCAATTATGGGCAGTCTTAGGAACCTGTGGAAGAGCCTGGTGTGTATTTATTTTGCTATGACAGGTTTTTGTTTTTGTCTTTTCACACTTTGGACAGTACAGAAGTCACAATGGGAGAAGATCTCGGTGTAAAAGAGGGTTGTTTGATCAGTGTTAAGGGTGTGTATAAAATCTGTCGTCATGTACGATTGAACAACAAATTCATTCACACGAGGGAGAGTGATCCAAACGTACAGGTGCAGCCATGTCACTGCCTTTTTAACTCTAATATGAGGTTGTTGTTTTTTTAAGTAACAAATGAAACGTGTAGAAAAGTTCTAACTTTGAAGATGGACTGTTTTTGGAAACTTACTTTTCAACAAAAACCTGAACTGGTAATGCAGTTATTATAATTGTTTATTTTTTTTATTATTTTTCCGTTTCTTAACCTGTTAAGTTCAGCTGTTTCCTACGGTTGAGAAAAAAATTTAAGAAAATATGAATTATTGATATTCAAGCATGATTTTTTTTCTGACTTTAAATTGGCGTAAATAAAATCTATTCATTTTATTGTCTTGTTACTAAATTTATGGGTAGATAAAGTATTAAAGATGATTCTGTGCAAATGAGAAATGAAAGCGTTTGATTTTTTTTTTTTGTTATGCATTAAATGTATTAAATCATTTTGAAGTTATAAAAATTAATTTAATTGATTTTGTGTCTGTAAAAAGTTTTATAAAGCCACATGAAAGATTTTTTTATTTTTTATTAAATGTGTATATATATATATAAATATATATACATGCATAAAGTAGTCCCTCGTTACTTCGCGGTTCGTTTATCACAGACTCGTTCTATCGCTGTTTTTCAAAATAAGATTGGACATGACACAATTGGCTGATTGATGGATGAGCCGCACGATCGGCATGGAATTTTAATTTAAAATAAATCATTTAAAATTATTTAGCACCTGCTTCACATTTGTGAAAAATTTCTCCTGCATCTTTGTCCAGCCCTTACTGCAGGATAAGCTTCTTCCTGCAGCTGATCAGCTGATCTCCACGCAGAGCGGAGAAGTGGGCGTGGCCAGCAGCGCTTGCACGCGGCAAAGAGCAGAGGACGCAGAGAGCTGAAATCATGACATCCTGTGCTCTTTTAGAGCGTATAGAGTTTAGAAACATTGTTTAGAATATTGCAAGAGTATGGAAAGGGTTTAAAATGTCTTAATATATCAATATATATCTATATAAATACTAAAATAAACTACTACTGAGTACTTGTACTGCTATTCCTACTTGGTGGTTTTTCACTTACCGCGGGTCTTCAGGGTACGGATCCCCCACGATAAACGAGGGACTACTGTAGATAACAAATTATAGTATATGTATAACATCAGTTATGTAAGCATCTTATTGTTTTCCTTTCTTGTTTGTTTCAATCTACATAAGACAAAGTCTAATCCAGAATGATTTAAATTAGCTTGGTAGCCTAAAACAGCGTATGAGACAGAATGATCACTGAGAAACTAGAGAAATATAAAAGTTTTTGTTTTGCCAGTTCTTGGTCAAATCTCCAAAAGAGAAGTCAGCCATGAGGCAGATTTACTCTTGTCCTTTTAAAGAGGCACAAAGATTCATTTTGTGTGCACAGATTGGAAAACCTGAAAGTAAAAAGCAAAGCGATTGACCGTTGCCTCTGGTGTGTTCCACAACACAAGTCAAACTAAAGAGGGCTCAAAAGGCACGCTGACCAAACGAAAAAGAAATGGAGAAGACAATAAAAGCAAAGCATAGGAAACAAGTAAGCAGCTGCAGGATAAAACTTCTCATTCATCTCATTCAAAAGGGAAGAGAGGACAGAAAAAAGGCCTGAATCGAAATGAATCGGGACTAAAAATAGCAGAATAGCCACGAGCAGGATGCTCCAACACATTAAATGGACTCAGTGAAGAGAAACCAAAGAATTTGGAAGCAAAGAAAAAAAGCCTAAATATATGAATAAATGATTGTTTTTACTGAATCATACTTTACTTCTTCTCTCATCACGCTTTCTCTTAAAATGGCCTCAGAGCAGTTCTCTTTAGTTTAGATGTGGAGCTCAGGACCAGTAAAATGTATAGAAACATTGCAACTAAACAGGAGCCAACTGACATCATAAACAACCTCAATAACTTATTTACTGTTTATTTATACAGTATATTTGTGAAATTGTGTTGTATACTCTATCTTGCACAAAGTATTAAAAATAAAACATGCTGACTTGTTCTATGAACCACAAATGGATCCTGTTTGTAGCTGCACTATAAGTGAAACAATCTTAGTGTGATTTGTTAATATTTTATTGGCAATATCAGTTGTGATCAACCCACAGATTTATTACTCCTTCCTTTCTCTTCTTTCGTCACTATAATCTAAACCAGGTGGTGGTTCAAGGTCAGGGAGAGTCCGTTGAGTTCACAAAATTTATAAACAGAATTTGGAACATGGACAGTACCTGAAATATGATCTTTCATTTATTGCAACCCAAGTTGTCTTTTTCAATATTGATTTTACACTCACTGACATGACAATGGCATTATACTGTGTGTATATATATATATATATATAT